GTTTTTGAAAGACAGCAGTCTTATGATTCAACCTAATTTAAAGCTATCCTTAGATTGAAAGAGAAATCTCACCCTTACCCAATACACAGCCCTGCCAAGTCTCTGTATCAACACTAGTGTTTATGCAGCCACGCAGTGAGTCTGACTGAAGTGATCCAGCTGAAAGCTAACCATGCAAACAACAAAAAAACCCTCAAACCCAAAAAATACCCCCTTGTTTTCAGAGGGATCAATTAATTAATCCAGCTCCCCACACATGTCAGGTACTGACGGACACTGAGGACAAAAGTGCACGGCTGAGAGAAAGGAAAAGAAGGAAGGAGGGACAGCATGTGTCAGTATCATCAGTCTTGCATCAGCCTGAGCAAAATATGAAGGATGAGTAGTAAAAAAGTGACAGAAGATTCAAGTGTCAAAAGTAAAAACTCACTAAAGAGAAAACTCTTTACCTGTTCCACTATGTGGTATTATAGAGTCTGCAGTTTCTTCTGCTCTACCTTTTTGAAAAAAAGTAGTGAATCCTGTTCATACAGTTAGCAAACTACAGCCTAATACTGGTTTGCCCTATGTTTCCTGTAATGACTGAAAGAAATTGAGCATATTATTTGAAGACACATGAAAACGAGGTTTTATGAAATTTAAAAAAGGGTAATGAAATCAAAAACCATCAACAAGACAAGCGTTACAATAAATGTAACATTAATGTGTGTTTTGGATGTTACTTGCGAACCAGTGTAGCTATCACCTACTACCTAAGGGAGGGAGTCCAGCTGCATTCATCCAAATCCTGGCTGTGCACTCCTGAAACATTTTTCACGTCACAATAGGCAACTGCGGGAGTACAGGATGAGTTGGTTCAGTAAACTGACATGACAGGAAACTAATTCTCCAATAAAAAGCCGAGAAATTTCACAAATAAATTTATTTTAGCTGGATCAAGTCAATGAACTAATTCATTCTCAACTGAAGAATCACTTGCTCCATTGTAAGCAGAAAGGACAGGAATATGTCGAGCTAGAAGGGATGTGGACTGACCTTTTCAGTAGTAGTCCACCATTACAGTAGTTTAACTGTGATATATTTTTATATATTTATATATATATATATATATATATACACACACACACATACACACACAGAGTTCCATGCCAAGATTATTCACACTTATGCAGTGTGAACTGTGTAATTGTATTTCAGAGTTTCCTTCTTCCCCTACCCAATCTGATACAACTTAATAAAATGGTCTTTAAAGTATTTAACTAAATTTCACATAAAGTCACATAATATTTATATTTGTTATAAATATAAATATTATAAAATTCACATAATAATTACAAATTGCAGCTGAGAAAAGTTTTCATTCTGCCTTCCAACAGACACACTAATCCAGCAGCATATATACCCTAATGTTAAAAGTCTCCTGTTAATTACACCTAAGTTTACATGTTTTCACAAAAGAACCAGAAGCCCCTTCGCAGCATAACCATGTCACTTATGCTCTTAGGAGTTTTTTAAGAAAGAGAATTCTCCAATGTACCTGAAGTATGTTACGACACCATTTATAAAATCAGACATGCACGAATAAGATTAAATACTTTCCTTTCATTTATCTGTTGGGGATTTGAAAAGCAATGGGCATCTCTTGAGCACTTTTCTTCCCCCTTGTGTACCTACACAGGTATTTTTGTTCAGTTGGGGGTTTTTTAAGAGTAATATTCTGTTTGGAAAATAATCTTTATTTTTGTATAATATTCTCTGTAACTTAACAAGGCTCAGCAGAAAGAAGCCCTGAGATCTTTTAAATCAGGTCAGGCTCTCCTACTCCCCACTTTCTTTTTTGATTTCACATGAATGGTTATTTTAAATTTCCACTTTAATATCATGATTAGCTTAACCTCCTTCATGGTTTCCCTGCAACTGCTTCCTCTCATAGATTCTAGTATAAAGCTGATGTGGTTATCAATGAATACTCCATTGTTAGCATATTTTCAAATGCTCACAAGTCTCCAATAAGTCTTCCACCCATTTCCATTTCCACTGTTTCTTCAGATAACCCATTTCCATTTTTCCATTTTAGCTCTCTACATAATACTCATCAAGAAAATGTCGTCATTGACAAAGATGACTAATCTCTCCAGAGCTCTCATATATTTCCCTGGGTTTTCTCTTTTGCCATGTTCTCAAAACTTTCGCTTTTTTCAAGATAAAACTATTCAAGATTGCAAACATGGTTTGGCAAAACAGGAAACAATGGTTTTATGTTTAAACCTAGCATTAATCAGCCAGGCTATTCTTCTATCTTTTCCTTGAGACTTTCAATGTCTTTTCAATTACTTGCTGTATTGTTTCTTTAGTAGAGATTTCCCTTCTTCCAAAATGATTATTACTGCCTGCAGCCTGATTTTTAGATACGGCCACTAAATAGATTCTAGAAAATAGAAAATCATGCATCAATAGATTCTATTCTATTTTATTTCATCTCTACTGCTTAATAATGCTCTCAAATCTTTTATTTGTTTATGCTTAAAGCTAATCTGACAGAGACTGACTAAATCCACCTTTTCCTTGGTTTTCCAAGATGCATCACAGAAGGCCTCAAATTGCTTCTTTCAGCAACTGATGCTAAGGTTTGTGCTTGTGACTATCTCAAAAGCAATCTAATTATGATTTTTCCTAGGATGTGGGACATCAGAATTTAATTTCATACCTGGCTACATCCCTTGAAACTCCCAGTTTAAGCACAGTTTATTTCAGTGACACAGCCTAAAAGGCAGCGAAAAGGCAAAGAATAAAGTTCTGAAGACGGGGGAAGAAAGAGAAAGCTGCAGTGAGTTAAAGAAATGTGTATCAGGCTGACATGGAACTGGTTCCAAGTAATGGGAAAGCAGGGCATTGAGCCTGAGTTGTCTTGACAGAGCTCACGAATAAAAGCTTGACCCAAGCCATAAACTAGCATGAGAGCAGTTAAAAAAAAAATTAAAAATTAAATTGTTAAGTCTTGACTAAGTGAATCGCAGTGACATTCAGCAACACTGAGAAGTGACAAAGTCTCCCTTAATGTGTAGTCAACTACTTTTATAAAACACAGATAGGCCCTCAAAACCGAGGGTGTGAGCTGATTAAACGTTTAAAAGAACTTGCATGCAACATTATGAAATTATTCAAACCCAAACAACATACGGAGAAAAACAAAACATATGCCTCATTTTTAGCCCATGACAGAATACACTGGAGTATATCAACTGAAAGGTCTTCTGGGTGGTCTTTTGTAGTTTAGTTTAGAGTTCAAGCATACTCACTGCTAAATTGCATAGAGAAAAGTACACACACAAAGTGCAGATCCTTAGCCTTTACTTCTGGAGTGCCAAAAACTTGAAATTACCTCGCAGTGGCAATCACTCCCCCAGTTTGACAAAGTACTGAACTGGAGTATATGACAAATTCAGTACTAGCATGCTATAGAAATTCTGGATCAACAAAACAGTCTGGAGTGAACCCTTTGAGTTAGAGTGGTAAGAATTGAAAAGATACACAGAAACATTTTCTGAGGGTCTGTTCACTTCTTGTTAGTTCTTCAAATCAAGGAAGATGGCTTAGGGGTAACTTTATCTTAGTCTCTCCCATCAACATACTGCACTGACCATCCCAGCCAGTTCTATGCATGTATAAGGCAAACTCCCAAGACTTTCTTATTGATTAGGTTATCATCCCACTAAGAGATTGATTTATTTTTTAAAATGTAAGTCTTTAAACTCCCTTTTTAAACAACAAGGAGTGTCCACAGATCAAGATCAAATTTTGAAACAGTCAAGCTAGAGTCCACAGCATTGTATTTTTCATTTGTCTTCCCTTTACTAGACAGAATAGTATGAAAGAAACTAAAGAAAACTTCTCCTTTTATTTTTATGGAAAGATTAAAAACACCAAATAGGGGAATTGGATATCTCATAAGAGATACTTAAGTAAGAAAAAAGAAGATAATTATTTCTCAGTCAAAATGCAGAGACAGGATTTTGTAGTTAAAGCATCTAAGCAGCTTTCAAGACAATACTGAGAAAGTAGTAGTTTTCAAAAAAGCAAAGTACTTCTAAAGCAGTTATATATTTTTTTCTGAGAGAGAAAAACATTTGCTTGATCTTCTGACATTTAAGGGTAGTTACCAATCTAGGAATCAGGATAATAAAATGTGCTTTTAGTCTAATACATAAAACCACCCTGCTTGATTTAAAAAAAAATACTAAGTTGAACGAGTAGAAGAAAACCCTTTATTTCAAGGCTCAAACATACTTTAATACCTCTAAGGTAAACCACTAAAATAGAAATAGACCTCAGCATGTAATTCTGACTCTTTCTGTGAGCATAGAAGAGACTGCCTGCCCTATAGCAGGCCACCTGGGTCAATGTGAGTACTCCTGAGACAACCAGCAGTTAACCACAGCACAAAATCCATAAGCCTTTGACCCTGATAAAGCCTTCAGGATGACATATTTAAGCTGAATTGTTTATGGTATTTAACTACACACCAGTGCCTTTTACTCCATAAATGTTTGGTGGGATTTTTTTGCCCCAGCAGGGCTAGCACTGATCCATTTGAGTTGTTTTGCAGAACAAGTGCTAAGAAAACATACGAGAAACCTGTAGACATAAAAAACCGCCCCATTTATCATTTTGGAAAGTAAAATGTTACAAGGACAAAATATACAGGAAAAGAAGATCCTTAAAAACACAGTGCTAAAATCATACCTAGCTTTCTAAATACATGGTCTTTTTCTCTGAGCCTTATATGGTTCAGAAAATGCTGAGCTTCCAAAAATTCCCATTTTTGTCTGCTTCAGATTCACTTCTGGATGTCTTTTTGAATTCTTTGGCCCAACTGTTAATGTGACTTTCTGGTTCCAAGATGACAGTCACAAATACGTGAATAACTAAATCTCTATACAAACATTCATTTTACCACTATAAAATAAACCAGAAAACTTATAGAAGGGTTTTGTACATACCAATACACCACTTTCACATGTCCAAGCACTTGGATTAGATTCAAGTTTACTGACACAAACTATAAATCTGTCTGGAAACACACGTAGCTCTAGACAAAAAGAATTGAAAAGATTACAAAAATCATAACCATAATTCAAAACTACACACATCGACAACACATATACATGTTATTTTAGTAAACAAAAGACTTTATATTTTAAATTGCACACTAACTCACTTCATGCATTCCACTAATTTCTTACCTAATCTCTTCAACATCCCATCCCTCCTTTTGTTTTGCTTTTTTAAATCATTCTAAAAAAAAAAATCAGTAAGTCAGAGTAAATTTAGTTCCCAAGAGGATAGCCATAGCTGCAAATTAGTCCACCTGCACCCCTGGACAAATATACCAGACCGAACCAACAGACAAACCACTTAACCATGATTTCTTTTGTGCCATTCTAGTGATGAGTCTTTTCATCACAAAAGCTGTAAATTATGTTTGTAATACAGCACAATATATCCAATCAGAACTTGGCATAAAAACTCAGCATAAGGCGTTTCAAATTCTGACTGCAGTGATTTTTGAAGTCATTAAACAAATTGGTTAACTACTACAGAACTATGATGTTTTACCTAAGATCACATGGTTTGTTATGAACACAACAAAGTTTCTATTTACAAAGGATTAAAAATTGAAGGGTTCTCAGATTAGAATAGACAATACAAAGCTGTATTCAGTGCCTAGCATAGCTGGATATTTTGTTATTTTACATATCGAATTATTTCCAGATAGCTACCTTCATATTCTCAGCTCAGATTTTTTTTCTCCAGGTTTTTGGTTTGGTTTTCTAAAACGATAATTACTAATTTTTAAAGTTTGTTGTACTTCAAAACCAAGCCATAACACCCTATTTTCTGGAACAAGAAAGAGACAAGGCAAGCAGAAAAAAAACACAAGGTTGAACTCAGATTTTTCTGCTAGAACATTTCCTCCTCACAATGAATTGAGTATAGGCATAAGGGGCACAATTTGTCAGCAATGTTCAGGTCCCATATGGGTGGCTGCCTCTCTACAAGGTACTGCTGCTTCACCAACAGCATATTTCCATTAGTGTCTGACAAAGCCCTTCGAGCACATACCAGCAGCAACTTTTCTAGAGTCATTACAATGAAAGATGGGGACGTTGAAACAAATCACCTTGCCTTTGCCACTGGTTGAAAATGCAGACACAAAGACCTCAGATGCATCTGTATTGGCACAACAGCTTGTTAAGCTAATACAACTTCATAATGAACATAAGCCTTTCAAAACCCTTTCAGAAATATGAATTCTGTTAGCAAAAGGAATTATTCGTGTGGTGCTATGTCCAGATGATTCTTCAACTGCTTGTATCCTCAAGACTTGAAAAGCCACCCCTAAAGGTCTAGTCCAATAGCTTTCGAATTGCTAGCAGTCTACAGACATCTTCCAAATGGCCAACAAAAGAAAAGCTGGACAACTGCTGCAAGGACTGAATTTGGTATGTGGGATTCCACTAATAGCCTCTTAGGTAAGTTTACTTTAAATACTAAGTGAGCATCACCACTAAAAGTACACAACATTCTTCTTCTGTTAGGCTCAACATCTAGTTTTTGTTTGCAAAGTACTAGGTGTAACTTACAGAAAGGAAACATTGGTGCCAAATTATTTATTTTTTCAGCATATGTGCTTATTTTGTTATTTATTAGAGAGAAACCCAGCCAAATGAAGTTCCTTTCTTGTCAGGAACTTCACGTGGAAGCAAAGTTTTGACTGCAGCATCACAGGATCTCTTTTTGGCAGCACTAGTAGCACAAGTTTATTCCAGTTAGACATTTTCATTGTTAGATTTTATAACAATCTCACTTGCTGGCTAACAAAATTAAAGTATTTTTAGGTATTCATTGATGCTTAAAAAAAGCTCAAATTCAATACACAGAAACCAATGTTAAGTTACCAAAGCAGACACTCTGCTATTCTATTCTAACTATTCTTCCAGGAGGTTGGGAGAAGAAGTTTGATGAAATATTTAAAAACAACACTCTAATCAATATGGACACAGAAAACAACTACTTGACACTTTAAGAGAAATTTAAACATTTACAGACATAATGAATTCCTATAAAAATAAGAAATGCTTTCAAAATATCCATTCAATTATTCAATATTTTTAAGGGCACCTAATTGATTTATTCTATTTTTTTTAAACACGAAAAGCTCAACACAGTGATTGTTATAGCTACTTTTAATTGCTGTTGGTGGGACAGGATTGATATCACTTCCTCACAGGGCATCTTGGCTTGAGAAAACATGAAAAAAAAAATCTGGTCCAATGACATCACCTGTGTAAAGATTTTATAGCACTGAGGTGAATGAAAGCTTTTTCTTGCATACACTTGTACTGTACCGTTGATGTCACAAGACACTCGAGCAATAATGAAGTGATTCATACTGCAACCTCTGGTTAATTCACCCTGCAGAGACTCAGTAAAATGCTGAGTCTCATCATACTTACAGAATTTGGTGTGGCTTAGCTGATTACCCTGGGGCATGGCATATACAAATTTCAAATTAAGTTTAAAAAAAAAAAATCCATCACATATGTCAAGAAACACATCTCTCTTTTTTAGGAAACATACTCTGGGAGGAAAAAAAAACCAACCCAAAACCCAAAAGAAAACCAAGATCTGAAAGAAATTTTTATTAAATAGAACAAAATATGACAAAGTGTTAGTTTATGTTCCTTTATTTCTCCCAGAAGTGGAAAATTCCAAGTAACTCTATAAGAAACTGATTTCTTACCACGATAATGTTTCCCTACAGCACAACGGAGATTAACCCATCTCTTCATAAAGTAGGCAGTAATGTGAAAACTGCTGGCTGCAACATAAAGAGATAATAAGAAGTGTAAGGGTATCTTTGGCATTCTGGTCTCAAAGTGTTGCACATCTGAGAAGATAGGATTGAGAGAAATCATCATCAGCAGCTCAAAAATACAAAAGAGAAGGTAACTTTAAAGGAATATTTTTAAAATTAAATGGCTCATACTGATCTCAAGAAACTAGTATCTGAAGCAAGGGAAAAATCTAAACAAATTACTAACCACAAAATTTTGACATCCAACCACAGAAATAAATTTTATTCAATTAACTGATCAGAGGTGTCATCTGCTTCATAACCTGTTGTCACAGTCACTAGTCCAATAGGCTTAAGTACTATTCACTGTGATGTTTTCATACATATTCTACAAGAACATTACAGATGACCATTCACTTAACTGCCTTCTAGACAAAGGTGGCATACTCAAAGCTGAAAAATGTTAGCTATAAAAGGAAACAAACATACATAAAAGGTCTTAATTATCCACAATTCCATTGAATTAAGTGAGAAATGCATACTTTTCAACTCCTCAGTAGCTACAACTAGACAGAGATAGCCTGGCTAACCCAGCAGGTACCTGTAACATACACAGAGGCTTCTTCAGTTTCTATTCTTGAGAACAACAGAAATCCTTGTGCACCAGGAGCATAAGGAAAGGACAGAAAGGATTCTATTACGGCGAAGAGATTATTAGACTACGGCTAAGGAAATCAGCTTTTCCTCTTGTTCTACTTAAATTCCCAAATGACCCTGAGGAAATCAGTTAGGACTTGATTCATAGAGGTATTTAGCAACCACTGCAATTGAAAGAAGTTAGCATCTGAGACTCCTCCTCCATAGTCTCTCTGTACACCTCACTAAAATGAATGCGCAAACAAGGGTTAGTGGTATTTTCCCTAACTCTGATGGGTTTTGCAACACTTAAATTATTGTTGCTTCCAAGACCTTAGTCAGGTACCGTCGATGCAATTATCACAGAAAAATTCAAGTGCTACTGCTGTTCTTCTAATCTAACCATTTAAAAAGAAGGAAAGCTTGTCTGTTCCAGCCTCAGTCTCTACTGAGCAAGTGCTAAGGCATGCATTATTTCTGAGCATAAGTCCCACAATGCATGTCCTCTCCTGCACAGTCTACAACTCTCCTACTTCTACAAGATCTCCTGGAGCTCACCATCAAGTGCTGTTCCGCATCACCTCTCATTAAGAACTATAGTTATTGATCACAATCAATCCCTATGAAATTTATCAGTCATCTTTTTTTCTTCCCCTCAGGAAGATACCCAAAATTTTACTTCCCTTTAGAGATCAAGTCGTGGCAAGTTAAACCATCCCTTAAAAATGATGAGCACTAGAGAAAAATTTGGATGTAATCCACCAGCTTTATTAACTGTATACTTATGAGCACCATTAAAGAAAATTACTTTTAGCTATTTCCAGTTTGGCGTTCACAATTCTTTAGTATTGTTAGTAGAGTTAGCCAAATCAAAGAATTTGCCCTGTATATACATCAGTTATTAGTGTGATAATAGCATCTTTCACTGTGACCTCTGTAACACTGAAAAAGTAACATTCCTAAAAGGACAACTTTGCAAACAAATCTTCAGAGAGTCAATATTAAAAGTCTTTCCACTTCCATTTGTCTGGGATATTCCAAATGTATTTTTCTTGAGAGGAACTTAAAATGAAGAAGTTCTGCTTTTCACAAGGAAAAACACAATATTGCATTCCTGAAATCCTTTTATGAATCAGTGACATGTATATCTGTTTATTTTTCTTGCTATCCTGGTATTCTCTGACAGCTTATGTGTTTAATCATATTTGATTGGCTAATGGTCTGAACAAAATTTCAGATTCCTCTTAAAGGCCCTTGATCAGCTAGCTACTGTTCTCTGGAAGAGAACACCTACCTCAAATCCAAGAAAATAGATAATTACATAAGAAATCAAGACACCTCTACACTATTTTTGTAGTGTCAGCTCCGGCCTGAAAGTCTTCTATAGCCTTCAGAGGGAATTGCACCTGAGCTAATAAGGTCAGCCCAGAAGGACTAACACTAGAAAATAATTTGAGTGTCCATTACTACTTACTACTTGACTTTGCTGAAAAAGCCTGAAAAGATGATTTGCTGTCATTTATTGCTAACTGTGAGAAAATTAAGATGTATTACAGTCTGGATACCTGTATTTTGAAAATATCACACAGCCATGCTCATCAAACTTTCTGAAACCTCTTGTATGTGACATCTGACACAATCCACAGCCAGCTGGAGTTTGCAAAGCTTCCCTAGTTTTAAAGTTGCCAGAGTTACTGCAGTACTATAAAAATGGTGATATCCTCTTTCTGCTTCCTTCAAGAAAAATATATTATCCAATTAACCATTCTGCTTCATGAAATAAGAAACTTAAAAATAAGCCCCACAAGAAAGCCTTCTTATTCGACAACCTCATGCAACTTGCAGCTTCTTAAACTTTCTACACGGTTACTCAGCATGAGTCTAGGTCTGTTCTCAATTCCAGACTTGTCCACCATCAACACTAAATACTAGCACATACTAATGTTGGCTTTGGGCAAGCTGAGGACTATGCTGCAGGGAAGACAGCCAGTATATCCTCAGCAGGGACCAAAAGCTGCTGTTCATGATATCTGGAAGGAGGCACTGACTGATATGTACCAAATGATCCATCACTAGCTCCTTTTAAGCACACCATAGAAGTTTTAATCTCAAGCTACATACAGTGTTTTGCAGCCAGTAACAGAGTGAAAATTCACAGAGCTTAGGCTCAGCAAGTCCAGTTGGCCCAATCTTCAGTTTCCTCTTCATCATGTAATGTAGATAAAGCTCAACTTGTAGATTACCAACACAGAAGTAGAAATAAAATTGCTGTTAGTGATTGGGAGTTTTTCTTTCTTCAAAACTGCATACCTACATCATCAGATCCACAAGCAAACAAGAAAAAAAAACAAAAAACACACCACAAAACACTCCCACTAAACCCAACAAAATAAATAGATCCTAAAACCCATAATGTGACTGAATAAAAGTGGCTCTAGAAAAGCCACAGTACATTTTCAGCTGAAATACGCATCAGAGTGCTGCCTTTTAAGGGAATAGTAATTTGCCCTGCTTGTTATATTTCATAGTCCCACAACACCAAGAGGACATATCAGACACTGGCTCTTTACTGTAAGACTATCCAGCAACACTTGTTTTCCAAAGGAGTCACAGCCAAGCTGACTTGTGCTTCCAGAAGGCTGCCAAGAAGAGGCTGTGGTACAGAGTGAAGCAGTGGGAAGCCCTCTCCCACGGCTATTACGGACCATTCATCTGGGAGCCTGGGAAAATGCCTCTGAGCTGCTGAGTTATCTGGAGCAGCCTGGCAGGTGTTGACTTCCCAGCACAACCTGGCACCTGCACGGCTCTGTAACTAAATTCAGTCAAGTCTTCTCCAAAGCCACAGTACAAGCCTAAAAAAGCCAACTGCCCCCAAAACATTTCCATATCTGACAGGCACCTTTGTCTCATCACATAGTACTTTTACACCATCTTTAAAAAAACCCACCTCTTTTTCCTCCCAGTCTAGATGTTTCACATTTCTGGCAGGTTGTTCTGGATTAGGACTGCCTCTACTTTTAGAAAGTAGCAACAAAGTAAATCATTGCAACACACATATTAAAAAAAATTAGAGGATGACTTTCTTATGTTACAATGTGAAGTATATACATCGGTTCATCAGACTTTCTGAAACACTACATTGTACATTTAAAAATTAAAAATCTACATTTTGCTTATGCTAGATTATTCCACACAGATTAAACTGCACTAGTAATGTTTACAGTATATAGAGCTTTTCATCTTCAAAGTGCTCTACAGACATATTATTACACTACTTTTTAGCAGTCATATTTCTCCACTTAAAATTATTCACCACCAAATCCAAATTCCCGATTGTTTGCAAACAAAACAAAAAAGAACATTTTATTCCAAACCTACTGTTAATCATGCAGCTTTCCTCCCTCAAAACAAATGTTCACCTTTATAGCATGTGCTCCAGAGTAGGTAGCCATTTCTAATTTAGAAGAGATTCACAACCAAATGTTGGCATGTAAGTTTAAGTCCAAGTGTAAGATAGACCAGGGACAGCAGAAGGAAGACAACAGACACAAGAAGCTGTCAAGACTTCCTAAACCTTTTCTGGTGTTCAGCATGGGTACAGAATTTCTGTATCATTTCAGATACCAACACCAACACCACCACCCCCCCCCCAAAAAAGGGGGCAGTTAATGACAACAAGCATCTTCACCTATTGTAAATTTTTATACAATAGTGTCTTTCAGAACAACTTGAACAGCTCAGGATGGCATCCATTCTTTACGTCCATTCTGCCTTCAGCTCAAATAATTTTTAAATAATTTCAAAAAGTTTTCATTAGTTCAAGTGATAATCACAAGCAAGTACACAGGAAAATGTGTACTGATCAATGTAAAATAAAGTCGTAAAACTTGAAAAAAGTTTAATACCTAAGAAAAAAATGTTCAGGCCAACAAATTTATATACATAAATTATGGACTGAAAGAGAAAAATTACTTGGGTGCAGTACTGAGTGAGTATTGCTGCAGGGTCTGATCTTGCAAACTCTTATACCTGCAAATAAATTCAGCTTAAACCCAAGTATAGACAAAAACAGATTACTGATTTTTTTCACCATACTCTTTCACAATTTTATTAGTATTAGTGCTATTCTTCTATCTGCTAAATATTCTGAACGGGGACCAGTTGCCACCACAAATAGAGGTGAGAGATCTGTCCCATCTAGAATGGTGGGGATAAAGTTCAGTTCGTATCAGGGAGCAAGGTTCCTGACTGGAAGACAAACATTTAACCTTTATATGAATCTGATCAAGACACAATGAGCTACACCTAGCAGAATCCTCTCTGCTATCAGAACACTGATAACTGAACATGGCACACTGTTCAAAACCGTCAGAGTATGAACCATTAAC